CCTTAGGTGTATGTGGCTGGTGCCTTAGCCACTTCAGCCACAGGTGCCGAGCCATTTTCAATATGTTTTTTAAAATTTCGATATTCTTATCCCTTTCTTCCAAAGCATTTTAAGTATTCTCACAGATTATAGTATTTCTCTTATTCTGGCTATCTATAGAGCAGATATTATGATTCTCATTTTATGGGAGGATATTAAAGTATGAAGAGTAAATGAACAATCATTGGCCAAATAGTACTCTTGTTCTTGACTCTTTCTAGTACTTTTTTTTTTTATTTTGAGTTATCATCAAACAACGAAGGGCAGCTAGTAAAGAATTGTTTAATTTCAAAGGAAATTTTTAAAAATCAGAGCAATGAGATTAATGGACTCAGATTAATGTGATAATTTGTTTCTGAGTTTGAGCACATACTCACCCACTTACCTGAGTGAATTCAAGAATGAAATGAACACTCACTTAACTATGTGGGCACGAGGATTGATTCAAGAACTGTTACAGGAAATGTTAAGGTTGTACCCATGAGGCTGTGCAATGTAAGGTCACAGCCACATCCTTAAAGACACACTGATGACTGTATTATTAGACGACTCAGCAGGAGATACAACTTTACTGAACTTGTTTCTGTGACATTTTAGCCTTGACATTTCAATATCAAATGTTTGCTTTTAAAATTTATCCCAGTAAAGTCAGCAAGTGGGAAGTGAAAGACTCATACTGTTAACTGGGTACAGTGGTGAGTGGTGTGTGCCTGTCATCTCAGTTACTCAGGAGGCTAAGGCAGGAAGATTGCCAGAGCCTAGGAGTTGTAGGCTAGCCTGGGCCACATAGGAAGACCCATTACCCCACCCCTATAGTCTCTTAAAAAGACCCACTACCCCACCCTGTCTCTTAAAAAAGAGAAAGAATTCTCACTATTCAAGATTGATTATGTATCTGTATGTAGGCATTTTCAGATTTAACAAATAGGCAAACATTTTATTTTAAATATTGGTTTAAAGCTCTCTAAGGAAACTTTTTGACAGCTGTAATTAATTCTATCACTTAAGACCAATGATTTTTAATAACAAAACAAAGAAAATAGAACAGTATAAGAGGTCGTCTGGTTTCATGTACTGCTGTAGGCAGTAATAGAATTACATGTCACACTTAAAAAAGTAGTCATCCTTATAGCCATTACTGATGACATAGAAACTTGAATCAGTGTGGTCTGAGCTGCCCCCAGGGGCCTGTGACAGGGATGTGTGTCACA